GCGAGGAGTAGTCCACGCCCTTGCTATCATAGGAGTCTCTCATGGAGGTGTTTTGGGCGGTGCCCACGTTGGAGATGGGAGACGTGAAGAGGGCTTCAATGGTGCTCTCTTGAAGAAACAGCTAAAGAGTCCAAGGAGGGAGCACTTGGTGGGTGACACCCATGGTGTGCATGTGAGCTGCTGGGGGGTGCCCATATGACTGAGGTGGGCGCCCAAGAGGTAGGTGCCTAAGACCACGAGGCAGGCGATCAAGGCAAAAGGTAGAGGTTCTTTGTGTTGTCTTCTCTTCCTCCCAAGAGGGTGATGCCCCAAGTACTTTTTGACCAACGCTTGATGGTCAGGTTGCTTTTTGGGAGGCGAGATCTAGTAGTGCCCCCACTCCTTCCCCGACTATGACTTCTGGAGCTAGCCTTTGGAGTTGAGACTCCTGTGCAGTCTTCTATGGGGACTGTAGCTCCACATAGCTGTCTTGCTTTAACCTGACTTTGATAAACGAGAGTCTTTGGACCTGTGGGATGTTAGAGAGGCAGGCACAAGGGTTGCTGAAGAGTAAGTATGGCTCCAGTGGCAGGCACGAGAGGATACCATGGAGCAGTAGGGCTCGGGCGGCAGGCACGAGAGGATGCCGTGGAGCAAATAGGGCACGGGCGACAGACACGAGAGAATGTCGCAGAGCAAGTAGGGCTCGGGCGACAGACACGAGAGAATTTCGTGGAGCAGTAGGGGGTTGGCTCATGAATGAGGCGCTAAACTAGAGGTTAAGGCTGCTCGGGAGCAGAGGTAGAACTACATATAGCTCAGAAGAGGGTTGTCGTGACAGAGACTCATTCCATTGAGATGGAGATGAGGAGGACTCTCTCATTCCATTGAGATGCAAATGAAAAGGGCTTTGAAGAGCTGGGTGCCTGAGACTCATTCCACTGAGATGGAGATAAGGAGGGTGTTGAGGAGCGGGGCCCCTGAAGCTCATTCCATTAAGTTGGAGATGAGGAGGGTGCTGACAAGCTAGGTGCCTGGTGAGAGGGGGCAAGACTCATCATGGTGGCGCCCAATGTAGAGAGGGCGAAACCCCTCGTTAAGGCGACATTAATAGGAGTGCCCAAGGTGGAGAGGGCGAGACCCCTCGTGCGCCTGGTGAGAGAGAGTGAGACCCATCGTTTGGGCTCGCCTGGTGAGGGGGAGTGAGACCCATCGTTTAGGCTCGCCTAGTGAGAGGGGATGAGACCCATCGTCTAGGTTGCCATCAAAGGAGGCGCCAAGGTGGAGAGGGCGAGGCCGTTATGGGGGCGCCTAAGGTGGAGAGGGCGAGACCCCTCCTCTAGGCGACATCATGGGAGACACCCAAGGTGAAGAGGGCGAGACCCCTTGTTTGGGCTCCTTTTGACTTTTTGTCTACCTTGTTGTTGATAGGTCATAGGCTGTTTGAGATGAAAACAAGACAATTATGAAAACCATAATCTTGCAAAATTTTATTTCATAAAATAATGAATAACAAAATAAATCAATTGAAATTGTAAAAGATAAATAAAATCTTCAGGCATGTCCCATAGGTGGGCCGATGTTTCCTTGGCAGAGTTGTAGCCCACAAGAGATTGTCTGAATTTCTCTGTGGGGTTGTTGGCGTTCTCAGTCGTCCTAGTCACGAACAAGTGGCGGGACTTGTCCTCTACCAGCAACGTATTGCCTCAACTGACCACGCTGTATGAGCTCCTCTATTTGCCTCTTGAGCTCATAGTAGTCATCTATGTCGTGGCCATAGTCGCGGTGGAAGCGACAGTACCTGCTGTGATTTCTACGGCTTGGGGCGGACTTCATTTTTCCAAGCTAACAAAGTGTGGGGTCATCCTGTATCTAGAATAGGATGTGGTCCACAGAGCCATTGAGTGGCGTGAAAGGTTGTCGGTCTCTCGAGCGGTACGGACCGAGACGGTCCTTGACAGAAACTCTTTCGGTTCTCTTTCTCTTGTTCTCCGCCTCCCACTTGTCTTCGCGGGTGTCTTTCCTTTTCTCCCCTCCTTGGGAGGACTCACCTCGACGGGCCTTGGTGACGTCCTCAGCATTCATGTACTTCTGTGCCCTTGACAGCAGCTCGGACATGCTGGAGGGCGGCTTCTTGAGGACAGAGAACATGAAACTGAAGGTGCGGAGGCCACCGATAAAGGCGGCAAGAGATACCTTATTATCTGACTCCTCAATCTGGAGAGCCTCCTCGTTGAAGCGGGCGAGGTAGTCTCTTAGGCTTTCATCCTTGTCCTGCTTGATGGTGAGCATGTGGGTCACTGGTCTCTGATGTCGGCATCTCTCAATGAAGTGGGAGATAAAAGACCTGCTGAGTTCTACGAAAGAGTGGATAGAGGAGAGCTTGATCTTTGTAAACCATTGACGTGCGAGCCCCTTGAGGGTGGTAGGGAAGGCTCTACACATAATCTCCTCAGGCATGTTGTGTAGTTGCATGAGGGATTTGTAAGTGTCCAAGTGGTCGAGGGGGTCTTTGGTGCCATCGAAGATCTCAATGGTAGGCATTTTGAACTTCAAAGGCAACGGGTAATTAACAATGTCAGTAACAAAAGGAGTATCAGTACGTCTTACCAGATAGTCCACGATTTTAGGCGTCTGCGCCTTGATGGCGTTGAGGACATTACCAAGCTGGTCCTGTACTTCCCTGATCTTCTAGTCCCACTGGTTGGGGACATTTTTCGATCGGGTGATGGTATTGACTCTCGTGGTCTCCGTACTGACTTTCTCCTTCGTCCTCCTGCACAAGCACTTGCGAAAGGGGAACATGTGTGCTCCCTACGCGTTGAGGAGGGATCACTTGACGAGGGGCTCCCTAGCGTGGTCCTGGAACATTCTGGTGAGGGACCTAGCGCCTAAAAGGGACAGGTAGTGGCTCCTCTCCTGTTGGAGGAAATGGGACTCCTTTTACAGGGTGATGGGTGACGCCCCCTTGATTGAGCATTAACTGGATTATCTGTTGGTTTTGTTTCACCAACAGTTGCATAGTCTATAGAAGCTGTTGCTATTGTCCAATGGTGGGAGTCACCGTGGCAGAGGGTTCTGAACGCGCGAGGGGAGGTGGAGCCTCCTCTCGGTGCGTAGGGTTGTTGTCTCTTTATTGATGAGACCTTGATCTGGTCGTGATTGTCATGGATTGCAAGAAGGATTGAGAGGTAGTAGACACTCTGTCGTTTTTCACAGACGGCGCCAAACTAATGATGCATAAAACTGTATTTGTGCAAGATCAACAGTCAAGTATGTGTAAGGATGCAATTAATGAGTGATAAACAAAAAATCAATGGAAATTAAGAGTAGAATAGTAAATAATAGATCAACACAAGAATTTGTAGTGGTTCGGTCCGGGTGACCTACTCCACTCTTGGGAACGACAGCGGTGACCTGTTGTTCTTTATTGATGAATCATGGTCTCCGAAGAGTTACAGTGCTTTTGAGAGAGAGAGAGAGAAAGATGTGTGCAGAGAGGTTTTGGAGGTCCTTAATGTGTAGAGGTCTCAAAAAGGTCCTTGGAGGCGTTGGAGGCGTGCCCTCAATGTTGAGAGGACTTACATTATATAGCTAGGGTAAGATAGCAGAAGCGGTGACGTGAGGGAGAAGAATTATATTTCTTTGGCAAGTATTGTTATGGTAGGAGATCTTCTATATCTATCTCCATATTATCTTCTCTCGTGCTCATATTCATCCGGAGGAAAACATTAGTTGGACCTGGACCTGGACTTGTCTTGAGTAGGCTTGGCTTGGACTTGGACCTGGGCTTGTCTTGGACCTAGACCTGGACTTGTCTTAAGTAGGCTTGACTTGGACCTGGACCTGGACCTGAAGTACCAAGGTGAGGAGGATCAAGAGGAGGGGCACCCAAGGGCTGCCATGGGCGGCGCCCAAGGGTCTGCCTAGGCGGCGCCCAAGGGACTGCCATGGGCAGCACCAAAGAGCTCCCTTGTCCTCCTCCTCTTTCGGCCGTTGACTTTTGGTGCTTTCCTCTTGGTGTCCTCCTTGATGGGTCGACAATGAACACTTCTTTGGACTTTCTCGATTTATCTAAATTAGACTTGACCAAGTGAAATCCGGGCTCATCAGTAATTCTCTATTAAATTTCTCCTCACACTTTACAATTTGTTTCTTTCTCTATCATAGATATATTATTATTTGTTTTAATAGTTAATTATATTTACATATCACTATATAAATAAAAATAAAAATAATTATATGTTTGATCCAAAAAAGTCAAGCGAGAGACATCTCCATCTCCATGAAGGTGGCAGTCATCGATGTATTTGCCACTGTTCCAGTAGTCAACGTACCATTTCGTAGTCACAAAAAGCAAAATTTCCAACTTTAAAACGAGTTAGGAAAATTATACTTTTGATTAATTATGGATTTTATTTTATTTTGCCACTTAAACTATTAAATTTTTTGCATTGCCTCATCAACAATTTTGCCACTTAATTATTTGTGTTGAGATGCACCTTATTTGTATATATATCTTTTTATATCTATATAATAAAACAGGAAAGAACTTGAATCTTATATTCAACTTATTTTTTCCCCCAAAACCATCGCATCCAACCCAACCCAACCCAACTCAACCATCACTTCCAACCCAATCCAATCCAGACCCAACGGCTTCCTGCAACCCAGACCCAACGGCTCCCTGTAACCCAGACCCAACGACTTCTTGACGTCCTCTCTCTCTCACCTCCTCCCTCTTTAGTCTCATCTCTGTCCCTTCTCTCTTATCTCACATCCTCCCTCACCTCACAGTCAGGCAGGGAGACAGGCGGTCACTTCCCCAAATTCAAGGCACGGTCATGTTCCCAAATCCATGGCATGGTCACTTCCCCTTCGGTTTCTTCTTTCAGCTCCCCAACACACAACACCCACACATCCACACACATCACTATCTGCCTCTCTTTCACAGGCAGCGACCATTGTGTCGATTATATTTGGGTTGGTCTCTCTCTCTCTCTCTTTGAGACGCAAATGATATGGAACAAGGGGATGGTGGTGGCAGTCATGGTTTGTCGTAATGCACATGAAGTGTTCGTCAAAATGTCTACTGCCCTAATCACCACAACCTACACCCCTTCCCCCCCCCCAACACACATATCTATAACAAATAATGACCCACAAAAATTATACAAACATTATTTAAAGTAGTAAATTTTAGAGGTATGCTACTAAATTTTTTTAATTGGTACTTTAGCAAGTCCCATTCATGGTGATCAACTTTGATTGGTTCTGCTTTATATGATATGGTAGTCACTATATGCTAGGTGGTGGTAGTTTTGGCATCAGAGCCTGCCATGTTCTCTCTTTGGATGCTCAATTTTGCTGCAGAAGTTCAGACCCATTAAAATGCTTGTAAATATGTTTCTTTTCTATTTGAGTTTATGATTTTCTTCCTCCTTTAGCTTTTCATCAGTTTTATACCGAGAATTATCAAGTCTCTTTCCAACATCTATTTTTCCTGAATCCATCAGCTATTAGGGTTTATGTAAGAATTATCTATTAGGTTGTGGTCAATTTCTATTATAAAGTGATTTTTGAAGTTTAGAAATGATTGCCTTTGTGCAGTGCCGTTTCATGGATAAAGCCACCATTGTGTCGATTACCATTGCGTAGCTTAATTTGATTAGTAAATTAAGTTATATGCATGCGTTCTTTTTTTTTTTAAAACCGAGAGCATGGAGGTTGATCTACATTTGATATGCATTGGTTTACTGTTCACACATAAACTTAATTTGATATGAGTGGTTGATATTTCTTCGTTTTTGTGCCTACACTACTCTTTCTGATAAGACTCCCCTTCAACATACAGATACCATATTTGTTAAAAGGAGCAGGTAAAACTTGGAAATCATTTAGTAGGGCCAACTTGAGAGGTTTTCATTTTTTATTTTTGAACAAAGAGAAGTTTTCATTTCAAAAACTTCTTTCAACAAGATTTCTCTAGTGTTTTTTTTTTTTGGGGTTCTGAATGTTATTTTTTTCAATTTTCTTTTAATTATTAAATAAGTTTATAGTGCCTTGATTTGATGAATGTTAGGGATATTTAGATTAAGATGGTGTGTTAATTTATTTTACTTCTATAATTTTAGAGATTGTGTGTTAATTAGTATGAAATAGGTTTTTATAATGTCTTGATTTGATGTATGTTTGTGAATTGAAGTGTTAGTTGAAATTGGGCTATTAATGTGTTGCTATTGTGTTTTTTCTTTTAAACATTCTAATGTTTTGCTTTGGTTTTAATCTATTGTGTTGAATTTTGTTGTGATCTTCTGGGCATTTGTTGCGGTGGTGCTAGGTGGTGATGGTTTTGGAAAGATCTCGTAAGTGACTTTTAGTTCTTTTTTTTTTTTTTTAACTTTTATTGTTTGGTTAGTTGTGTAATTTAGAGTATTCTTGATTTAATGTAATTTTTTTTTTCATTTAGGTGGTCAAAGTATTGATTGATGACAATTTTTGACCCTTTTATTTCACTAAAGTCGTTACATTAAAAATGACCAAACAATTTTCAGTTTAATGCATATTTAAATTCTTTATTTGATTATTTCGTATTTAAGAACTATATACAGTATCTTTAGTCACGTGATATAGGGCGAGTTTACATTTTTAGTTTAGTACGTGTTCGAGTTCAGTGTTTTATTATTTCGTGTTTAAATTCAATGTTCAATTTTTTTTTGTTATGTCATGCCTTCAGGCACGGGTTATCCCTAATATACATATATTATTTATACATGAATTTTATATAAAAATACAATGATACAATATGTGTATATATATATATATATATTTTTTTTTTTAAAAATTTTAAAAATAAAATTAAAAATTTTAAAAATAAAATATTTTTTCCATCTCAGTTAGAAGTAAGAATTTTCGATTCAACACGATAACACAACTCGAACTCGACACGAATTTTATAACACGAATTTGATTATAAGTCGAGATGACCTTGAAAATGACATGACACACAAACAAAGAAACGATTCATATCTAGTTCAATCCGTCAAACTCAAAATTGACACCTTCAACCCGTTTATTTAAAAATAAACACTTTCTCTATTTTTTTGTTTGTATGGTAACACCAAACTAGTATGTTTAACCTGAATTCAATTAAGTGAAAATAAAATATTAACGTTAATTTTTTATTTAAAATTTATGTGGGTTAAGACGAATATGAAAACGAACACGACACAAAAATAAACAAATCAACTCGACACAACACAATTAGTTAAATGAGTTGAGTTAGATTTGAATAATATTTTACACAAACCTGTAATCACTGGACACGAACTTGATACGACATGACTCGATTGTCACTCCTAATCTTAGCTAGCACAAAAAAAAAAATAATTATTTTTATTTTTCATTCATTTTACCAAACACAAGTGAAAGAAAAATGTATCATTCCTACTTTACTTCCTTGAAGAATAAAAAATGTATCTTTCATACTTTCTATCATTCTTACCAAATGGAGCATAACAAATTTTTTTTTTAAATTTTCAAACAATCACTTATTATCTCATTATAGTACATCTAAAACGTGATTGTGATTAATTAAAGTAATAAAAACTAATATTTAACTAGATTGTTTGTTTAGATGTGTTTGTTGCTAAAATTATAGTAGTGTTATCCAAATCAGACAGGATCAGTCGGTTTGACCGTGATTCGGGACGTTAGTCGGCCGATTCTTGAATTGAATCAGTTAAGGAGTTAAATTGGAATAAAACTGTCAAATCGATCGATTTTTGACAAAAACCGTTAACCGAACGATTTAGTCAAACCGAACGGTACTGCCTTTTCCATAAAATCCCCCAAGTCCCTATTTTTTCCCTAATTTTAGTCATCTCCATCATTTTCTCCACTCAGGCGTTAGTGGACCAGACCAGATTGCATACGATTCAGACCAAACCAAGCTTCACAAGTCACAGTTTCACACACCAAGCTTCACAGATCAAGTTTCACTCCATCGTCTTCTCCACTCAAGCGTTAGTGGACCAGGTCAGACTCTATACAATTCAGACCAGACTAAGCTTCACAGGTCACAGCTTCACATACCAAGCTTCACTCCATTGTCTTTTCCACTCAGGGTTGATCGAGCAACTCCTTCTCCACTTGATCTCTCGTTACTCAAGCTTCGCAGGTCACAGCTTCGATTAGCGGTCCTTTAGGCTTTACAGTTTCAGTCTTTCAAGCTTCTTCGCTCCTCTTTAAAGCTTTTTCACTCCTCCTTCGTGCTTCAATTGAGTGGAGGTTTTCTCTCTCTCTCTCTCCTCTCATCTACTGTATCATAATAGGCTATTGGTTACTTGGTTAAGTTAATTGTTTTTTTTTTTAGTATTTTTGTCAACTGATGTTAAGAACAAAATTTTTTTAACTGTATTTTTCATTTTTAACACAGGTATATTTTTTATACTTAATTAATTTATGGTAAATTATATGTATTAGGTACATGTTTTATATTTTTTTAGCTAAATTATTATATTTTTTATTTTTTATATTTTATTATTATTCGACCGGTCCAATCAGTTGACCTAGTGGTTGAACCACTAAACCATTGACCCGGTCCCTCAGTCGGTTCAATGTCCAGTTCGATTCTGATAGCAATGAATTATAATGTAATCAATTCATTTATACTCTTTGGACGCGTGATAGTGAATAATATTTGAAAAACATGCATGTGTCTTCAAAGTCATATGTATTATTGCTGATGTATTGCATTGTTTGTGAAATCGAAGGGGTAAAGATTAAAACTAAATATTACATACTTCTATACATATAGAAGTATCTGCGAAGTATTCATATATTTTATTTATTTTTGAATTTGTTTGGTGTTTATCCGATATATATCTTTGAATATCTGACAAGTATTACATTTAATCCATTTATTACCCGTATCATATTTGAGTTGTGTTAAATTCGTGTTAATAGGTAAAATTAACTAACCCTAAATTGTTAACACTTCACTGCCGTGGGTATGGTTGATGCTCTGAAACGAAAGTGCGTGACTGTGTGGGTTTGGTGGTTGCATTATGTGTTTGCTTTTGCTGAATGTTGGTGTAATCTTAGTAGGATATTCAATGGGTTTGCTTTTGGTGGGTTGTTGTTGGTGGTGTCTTTTTGGTGGGATATTCAATGGTGCTGGGGATGTAATAGGATGGTACTATTGTAATGCAGATCACGTTTTGGGGTGTATTCTAATTTCCAATTTTACTTGATAGAATAGCGAATTGGATAACAAAATACAAATTTCATTGTCCGATTTATGGCAGTGAAATATAAATTCACTATTCCTTTTTTTTTTTGCTCATTAAAAGAGTGGTCTGGGACAATCAGATGTAGAAACTCATTCAAAACGTTAACTTGAGATTTTCACCTATGTAGAATGTTCGATTTGAGTAATAGCTACTGACTTGGGATGGTTGAGTATATCACCAAAGCTCCACCGAGAACAAGTTAGACATTAGACATTCAGTTCCTCCAGTAGTATTTAGTTCACAGGAAATACTACTGCAAATGGGTTCAAACTCATGACCACTAGAGAAAGGCGAGACTTTCACCCTTCTACTGAAAGCCAAATAGGCTACCACCTTGGAAGTATTAATTCTGCCCCTTCAACAGTATAAATTCACTATTCAAATTTTTAACCGTAATATACAAATTTTATTGATCAATTATAGTTGTTAGACTAGAATTAGTACTAATCAAACAATCGAAACAATAGTACTAATCAAAAAAATCATTCAGTCATCAGATTATATAACAACTTACAGTCAGTTGCACAATTTTACTGTCAGAATTATGATGTTGAAATATGTGTTTCACTACCAAAAATTCCATTGATTGAAATGTTTACTTATTTAGTTCATGTGTTATTTATGAGCTTTTGGTCCAATGGTACTCATTGTCTTATAAAAATTTTATCTTCTTGAGGTCAAGGGTTCAAGTCCCTCTTCTCCTTTCCCTTTCCCTTTCCCTTTCCCCTTCCTTTCCCCAAAAAATATTTAAAAAAAATAAAATTATTTAGTCCTTGTGTTTCACTTAATTAATCTCAAAAGTGATTTTTAGTGAATATGTACACAGTTTGTTACACAAATATTAAAAAATCTGAGAATGATACGTGACAATATTTAACAGCCAAAATTGAGTCAGATAAGTTTCAAGGGAGATAAAACGGTTATGAGTAATTTTTTCCAAGGATCTCAGGATAAAAAGAGGCATGACGATCGTGACATCATGAAGTAGTATGTTGAAGATAATTTTGACGCACGTTGATAGCCGTCGGAAAGAGAGGCCACAAATGTTAGTTTAGTGACTAAAAAAGATGGTTCCAACGGTTAGAACCCATCACCTATAAAATACAGAGACACATGCAACATTCAGAGGATCTCTACGTCAACACACACACAAGCGGTATACCATAGCCTTCCTTTACATTGTTTAAGTTTATAATCTTTTATTTTACTCCATTCTGTAATTTCCTTTGTCATCACTCTTGTGACTTTTCTCCATTCAAATCCAATTCTAGTTTACTTTTAATTCCTAATTTGTAATAGGTCTCCTTTGTTGTTTATTTTGTTGGTCGTTCCGATTCTAGTTTGCTTTCAATTCCTAATTTGCTAACCTGCTCCCAGAGGGAATAGTTTGAGTGTTTGATCTTCAAGGCAATGAAAAAAAAATCTAAAAGTAATCTTACAACTCATTTTAATTGCTTGAACAATCACGAATTAATAAGCTTACATCGGTTCGAATAAATGTGACAATTGTTGGATATAGTAGTTGTTGTAGTAGTGGGCTTTAGCTTTACTTTGACGTACTTGGTCATATATTGTTGATTGTCGATGATATCATGTGTTAGCCGTGGTATCGCTATTAAAATGAATATTCTCTCCCCCACGTATCTCTCACGCACACACACACTTGATGTTCATGGTTTTTGCAGATTCTAATATGATGGGAGTACATGGAAATCCCTCACCTATGTCCCATTCTTCAATTGGCCAAAGTTCTCCGAGTCTGCAGATGCAAACAATATCAATGATAAACACATTTCGTGCAAAACTTCCAGTCGTGGTTGCGCTAATCGCTATCGGCTTCCCCGCCTTCTGACTTAATTTTAGTATGTAATTTGAGAATTTAATATATTTTAATTATTAGATGAGCGGTGGCTGGTTGGTGGGTGTTAATATGGAATAAAATTAGAGTAATGTTACACTGACCAAATTTTGGAATTAAATTTGGAGCTCAAATGACATGACAGTTGATTATTTGAAATTTTTATTAGGACCCAAATGACATCACACCAATAAAAGAAGTTCAAGTCAACTGCCATGTCACTTGAGTTCTAAATTTGGTCCCAAAATTTGGTCAGTCTATAATTACCAATAAAATTAACTACGAGAAGCATTGTACAAGCGTTTCACAGGTTGGAAAATTTCGAATCAAGGTTGATTTTGAGTACATCTGCAAACATGTAAGAGACCTCAAGATGATAGATTCTAGCAATGATTACATGGGCATTCAACCCGATAACTTATGGATGGATTGTGCAAGTTGATGGGTAATGGGTAAAAATTACCACTCCTTGTTATAGCCATGATTTTTCTTTTTCTTTTCAATTGGTATCATTACATAAACATTTAAGCCTGTTGTCTTTGTCCTGTTTTAATTGAATCCTATGACCCCATGACCTTCGATTTGGGAGTATCGTGGGTGATATTTTTTCTTCGCGAACCTTAACCGGTTTGAGGGAGTTTTATTGAATAAATAAAAAACTAAAATCTAAAATAGGAGGGAAGTAATGAACATTACCCCCAAAGAACTAATATAATTCCAAATAGAATAAATAAGGTAGTCAACTAAAAGTTTGACATGAACCTAACTAAATATGACACTGATCTGGTTGTAATCAACTAAACATCGGTTGTATATGACAAAAATTCAATATGATATTGTTTGGATATAAAATAAATAAACCTTACGAATGTTTAATGTATCGACATCTGATAATTTGGATGCAATAACAAAATGTCACGCGGTAGAATCTGAAAAAAAAAGCGAGAGATAATTAACCATAATCATGCTTGAAAAGAGAAATAACTAACTAAAAGTTGTATTCAGTAATCATCGATGGAAGTAAAATCGTCGAGAACAGTGGCTATAAAAAGTGATGTAGTAGAGAAGATAAATGATACATTCAAACCCCCACAATACCCACAATCTAGNGGAGGTTGTTATTGTAGCAATCGAGGCTGTTAATCTAGTTTTTTCTGTAACTAAAGTTCGATTGAATTAATAAATGAGTCTTGTATTACTAGTCACTTGTACTATGTGTTTGTCCATTTGAACCTCTCACAAACAATCGCTTGAAAATTGTCTGTTGATTGAGTTTTTGCCATCGATAACAACAGATTTTGGAGCATTAGATATGAACCCAAATATAAGGATCATAAATGAATCAAAAATGAGTAAAACAAATTTTACAGAACGCCATTTACAGGGACAAAACTGAATGTTTAGGTTAAGAAGGCCAAATATTGGTATAGTCAAGAGTTTAGGTTAAGAAGGCCAAATATTGGTATAGTCAAGAGTTGTATTCAATCAGATCATTGGAGTTTTTATTAATCCTAGATTTTTAGGGGTATAGAATGCATTGAAATAAACTTTTGCACGAAAAATTAGAGTATTATATATTGTCGTTAAAGTTAGAAAATTCAATTAAAATTTATCTAATTATATGTGAAAAAATTATAGAGAGAGAGAGACAGCTATGGAAATCCACCAAAAATTACTCAAAAAATCAATAATAATAATAGCTCAATTTATTTTCAATTTCACCAAATAACCTAATCATGTTAGCTCAATTTTACAAAATAATTGTACCATTTTATAAAAAATAAAATATATGCATTTATCTCAGATGAGTAGGAGAAAATAAATTTATGAGCCTTTTTAAGTACAAAAGGATATATTAGCCTTTTTAATTTTTTATAAAGGATTAATAATAAATCTAAAAAAATTTATTCTAAGGTACTTCTAATTTTTTTTT